GGCAAATTAAATTTTAAAACTATTGATGTAACATATGTGTATTTTGTTCCATCAACAAGCAATGTTACTTACGTGTTGATAGATGAAAATGTAATTTAAGCTGCTAAGTTTTTCCTTATGCTATGTAAAAATATCGGAAATTGACTTAATTGAAAATTTTAAACTGCATAACTAGGAAAAGAAAACATTCAAGGGTTCTATTACATATCCAACAAATTGCCGGTTTTGTGGTGGGATGTTGCGTGCAATTGATAAACATCGAGAAGATCGAAAGCTTACATTACAATACAGGTGTCGTAAATGTATAAAGTAAGCTCTTTATTTACATATGCTTATCGTCTATATGGATTGTTCGTGACTTTAGATGAGAATTAGGATTAAACGTTAAACTTTGTCATTAGAATTTCAATTAATCCGTAATTGGTGAAATATGGTCCAATGTTTGCGTATTTACTAAAACTAACTAATCTTTGTTACAATGGAGTGAAATGTGTTGTGACACTAACTAATACTATTGTTCTAACTTTGCTTTAATTTTGGAATTGAGTTCCTTGAACTGTATTTGTCTCCAATTCTTTGTTTTTCCTTCTAAAACGCAATCTTTCAGATTTAATGGTTTCACTGCCGACAGGCATGCTAAACATTTCTTATCAGAGGAAGCAAAATCAAGGGTCAGTTCTCGTCCTCGATCATTTTTGTCCATTGTGATAGATTTCCAAGTCCAATTAAACTGTGGCATGTTTTTCTACAGGCTCCACATATTGATTATGGCTGGTATCTATCAGATCCAGTGAGACATTCTTATAGAATCTTTGCTAACGATGGTGGTTCTTCGGCTTCAGAAGCTGATAGGTACGTTTCGAATATCGAGATATTTTACAACTTTTATTCGGAAAGTAATTTAGCTTAAAATTTTTACTGATTTCAAATTAACCAAATTTTCCGAAGTCAACTTTGTCATACAGGCCAACCGTAGATGTCCGACCAATTATTCAAAATGGAAATATAATGCTTCGGGTATTCGGACAAAGACGACTGGTTAAATTATTATGAATCACGTTCTTTTGTTTGCGACCAACCCACAGCTATATTATGCACTCGCGTCAGCTAGTTTTATTCAGCTTTGTTCATAAAATCTGTACATTAATCATTTTTTATTCATGATGCAGTCGCCTGAGTGGGGCTTCTCTAATAAAGGCTTTTAATTACAGAGCAATTGAATAACATAATTTCTTGAGCTAGAAACTACCAATGATTCAGCATGCCTAAAATAATTGTCAACCTTTAAGAATATTTTTTGTCGTAATTTAACCATACCTGATCGTAACTCTCGTATATCGAGAAAGTTGTAAACACTTTTAAAATAAAATTTTTGTGACTTGACCAGAGAGCAATAAAATCTTAATTTCAATCAGTTATAATAATTCTTATTTTTAAAAAATGTTGCGATTTTAAATGGTCGTTATTCTTGAAAGTATAAAAATTCCCAATACAGTAGTCAGGACAGTACTAATTCTCAGATTTTCAGCAGTCTTGCTCTAAACTGCGCAAAAGTCAATAAATCTGCTCTGTAAAGAGGTATGAAGATCAAACATGTGTAACACATCATGCAGAACATAAAGATTTGCAACTAGATCACAGTTTTGCGGGAAAACGTTTGCTTCTTCTAGCCTGCATTTGAGGATTTCAAATCTTTCTATACATCGTTTTGAAAAATACTACTATAAAGGGTTTTGATAAGAAATTAACAAGTTTTGATAAGAAATTAACAACACATCTTAAAATCGCTTTCTGACTTTAATATTATGTGAGAATTTCATTCACACTGAGGTCTTGGTTTCGGCGAGCTAGACAGTGCTTCTTGCGCAACTATGTTAGCTTGTATGGAATCAATTCTTTTGATGAGCTGATTGGTCCAACTAACCATTTCATTGATATCTTCTGTGCTGTAAAGAAAAATAAATTCAATGATATCTGTTATAGCTAGTATCAAAGGCCAGATTTATCACGTTTCCTAACTTATTAAACATTGAATATAACATGTTATTCCTAAGTGGCAGCACTACTATGTAACAAAACAATCAATAATAGTTGGTCCAAATAATAATGCAATGACATACAGTAAAAGCACGCATGAATTCTCAATCTTATCAGGGATTCCTCTCGCATAAATCAGACGAATGGAATGAAAAGTAAGAAACGTGAAATGAAAAATAAGAAATTAGAGATACAACAGCGAGAAATGTCTGAAAATAGTAATAAAAAAACAAACTTTTTGGATAGCATAAATTTCTGTGCACTCATCGATGCACAAAATGAACGGACGGGACCAAAACGATCACGGCGTTTAGTGGCCACTTCATTTGCAAGCTGAAAATACACAGGAAATAGAAACGGTTTCTAATTTAATTTATCAAACTAACTGATAAAAATCATATTGTTGTAAGACGAGGCGAAATAATAGTGCTGTCGGCATTTTTCTAAAATTTAAGCAAAAAATTGCAATTCGTGGACGTCAAAACAATTTATTTTGAAAAATCAAATTATACATATGGTAACTGTCGCGCAATGCCATCGACTTCGACATGCAACGTTTCCAATTTATCCTTCAGAACTTTTTCTGTATCTGTCAATGGGAACATCTTTGGCACAAGATCTGAGCCCAGCTGTAAAATATCTTATTTTAACTAATTAGTCCTGGAAAATCCGCTTCTTCGAATTGTTTTATCAAAAAAAAAAACGCTCCTGTTGGATGGACTTGTTATTTATTATATAACAAAAAAATTATTGCACAACAATAAATTGAAAATTACTTTAGGCAAAAATAAAATTAGGGATATTAATTTTACTTCTTCGAAATAAAACAAACTTCATCACTTCGTTTTTTCAGTTGTGCAACTGTCCTCTGAATTTTATAAATACGATTTCTCAGATCAACATATGCAGACAGTATCCGTAATAGACGTTCCGCACACGCTGATTTATTATTATTTATGGCTTCCAAACTCTTGACATCTTCGGTAATTCTGAAAAAAAACTGAGAAGTAAGAACGAGATATGAAAAATATCATTTTCGATTCCACTAACTTTCGATGCTTATCGTGGTTGCTCCCACCTTCATTCAATCAACGCACATATAAAGTGGTTAAGGATCCTTCCCACCCACTTCATACGTGCATTGCGCTATACATTTTCTAACTTGAATTAAAGTAAAAAACGGGATATTAGAATATGAGTCCTCAATGAATGAAAGAATCAGTTTTCTATAAAATTTAAAGTTGAATATAGAAACTTTGAACAATAAAAGACAAAATTTCAAAGCCTACATATCCTGAACTTTTTTAAAAGCAATTTGTGTGATCTTCATGTTTTCTACCAACGCTTGCACAACGCCATTCGCTACTGCTATAGCTTCAGCTTCCGTTACTGATTTATTTAGCCTGGAAATAACTGCTTCAAAACTTCAATTTAAAAAAAATTCAAATTCCTAGACATGGAAATCTATATGAATTTTACATTCTTATTTATTTATCACTCAAATCTTATTACATTTCAATGAAAAATGGATATCCCTTTCTTTTAATTCAAGTAGATTATGAGACTCGAAGGTTATTGAAAAATGAGACATTTGATAAGATAATACCTAAAACTTGGTATTACAGTTTGAGATTGGAGGGTTTTCACACATTCTTCAAGAAGATAGTCCTGAGTTCCCTCCTCAACAGGCATATTATGTCGTCTAACTACTGCACGTTTATCACTCCAAACATCTCGCCTAAAAAGTAGATGATTTCGCAGCTTCACAGAAAGTCAAGGTAGAAAACAAAGATAATTTCATAATGAAGAAGCATTAGAATATATGTATACAAGGTTTATTCTGTAAGCACCATTAAAATACGAAATTTCCAAATTACCAGTTTAAATCCCAGAACTAACCTTGTAAATTTATGAAGCAGTTGTTCTGAGGATGTAACCGCTATATAAACTATATCTTTCTCATTGAAAGCTTTGTAAATATCATCAGAAATTGGAGATTTGTTATTGGTAACACAAGAAGTAGCAAATATTATAGCGTCTGTCATCCCTTTTGCTTCGATATTTCCCAAAACAACAAATATATGATGGATTTTCGAATCAGGCAAATCGTTTGCATTTTTCCCGTAACTGAAATTTTATAAATTTAAAAAATAAAAATTACCATACTTTTACTCATTACCAACATGTCCATTGGTCGTATGACGCACCATTTCATCGTGCGATATGTGTTAAATGGCAGGGCTAAATGATTAAATGATTAGATCAGGGATAATTTCCTAGTGAACATTTATTGATCTCACCCACAAATATCGCATGATGTTGCAATTTGTGATGTTGAGTTTTACTTCATATCTCACCAACCTGTATGTAGGCTAAAAAGAAAAATTTGTCATTTCCATAGAACAAAGTGATTACACAGAAAAATGTGAAACATAAGTCAATCATGCTATTAAACATAATTATGTTATTTCATATTTTTATTTCTAAAAATAAGCTTAAAATATTTGAAGTGTTAAAAATTTACTTTGCATTTGCTAGTAACAAATTTGATAATAAATGAATCCATGGATTAATATCGATGGAAAAAAGATTCGCTCCACAAATAACAAAATATTGGCCAGATTGCACCGGATCTAAAGTTTTTCCAGAAAATTAGTACAAATATTTCCTAGGCATGATACCGTAAATCCTTAATAATATTTCTGCGCAAATGTTTGTCCTTATTTTGCTGTTTCGTATAATTTTATTCATCAGCAGAGTCTATCACGTCCAAAAAAAAATTATACAATAAAAACTGATTTCGCATTTCAGTTTGTTGTAAAACATACCTTAGATATTCGATGGGATTTTACTTTCTTCTTTATTTCCCAAGTGACTGATAAAATTACTAGTAGAGTAGGCGATAAAAAATTTACTAGTAGAAATTATTGGTAGAAAGACGATAAAAAATTAAGCTCGCAAATTGAAAAAACTTATAAGTTAAAATTTCAAGTCTTTAGATTTTCTTAATACGAACCATTCTGTAAGCAGTATGAAATATCAGCAAGCGGTTTGCAAGGCAGCAAAATATTATCATAAGAAACAAGAATAAACTCCACATGTCCGTCGAAATCTTCCTGAAAATAAAAAGTTGCCTAACTCAAATGTCCAACTATTTCAAAATACATTATATTCTATCCTAAGAAAGAACAACGCTTTTAATTAAGCTCAGTAATTTAAATTACACAAAACCTTGTCTAGTGTTAAAGCAAGGAAATGAGTGATACATCCATTAGAAGATATTAACGAGAAAACTGGTAATGATGTTTTTTCATGATACTGTATATAAAGCACATCGAAGGCACCACTGGAAGCATCTGGTACGGTTCCTGTTAGTGCAAGAGGTCCCTGTATCTCAATAATTCTGAAAATGGATTTTTCTCAAAATAATGCTTGATAAAAACAAAATAACCAATCAAATTTGGAGAATATATTATGGTTGGTAAAAAATCCGCGGATTTAACAAATAACATGATGAACCAGCACCTCGTACTAACTAATCATCATGAAAGAAAAATTTTTCTTTAACATACCTACTGTCCGTATAAACGACAATGTAAATATCACCACAATCGTTATCAATAGCAAACAATGTTTTAAGATTAATTTCTGCACCATTTTCATTATCTGCACGAATAATTGATGGTCCAAAATCAAATGAGGCTGGAAAAAATCACTTTTTTAACCAAAAGAAATCTATATTTTGAATGTCTCGATAACGCTTTAATCTTTAATAGATAGCCAAAAAACCAATTATACAAAATCGTTCAATCATTATCTTATAAATTTATTTGTTTCATATGCCTCACAAGAAAAAAAAAGCTCACAAGCATCACAAATTTCATCTTGACTAGATAAAGTGTAATTTGAATAATGGTTGTCGTTTTACATTTTCAATACATTGCAATATACTCCTTCCAATGTACTTCAGGAGGTATTAAAAGCAGCGGATAGTAAACAAAGGTGTGACAAATGAAAAAAGTAGATGCTTCGTCTACATAACAAGGGAAAATTCGAATCATCCGTATTTACGACAGCTTTATGAATAATATATTCAAACCTATGTAATTATGCACGCCAAAGGAACGGTCGCAACTTGATTCGCAAAGCCCAAGAATCGATTTAAAATCGATAACAACTGTAGGTGTAGTACAGGTGATGTCAGTATCATAAATTCTAAAAATTTTTCACTTGATTTAAAAGCATTACTATGCATCATGTTTACTTCGTTTTTCTTCAATACGGGAAAGTGTGATACAGAAACTCCACCATTGTGTTAAATGAATAAATAAGAAAAGTTTGTGGAATAAAAAGTTAATAAAATAAAAAGGACTACGATTATAAAATGTTCAAACATTAGCAAGAAAAGGAAAGCAATAGAACGAACCTAACAATATTTCCACTGTAAAGAACAGCCAATCTATTGTAAGTATGATATCCAGATTTATGACGCTCTTTCCAACACCATCGAATTTTAAGAATATCAACTGCAATATTTGCTGACCAAGTCTGAGAGCCAATAAATCGGCTCCTATAAAACAGAATAAAGAAATAAACAAAACTTCCCTCTTCTGTATAATTTTGCAAAAACTAGAAAGCCCAATTCATAGATTTCTTCCTTCCAAGTTAATTGATCAAAATTACTAATTACTCAGTGCACCACATTTCTCATCAATGACTAACAGTAATGTGAAACATCACTGAGTAAAAGTTTATAATAAATTAAACTGTTTGATTTAATCTTCTCAGTAAGCTCAACAATACACACTCCTCGATTCAGGTACCACTGATAATGTCTTCTAATCTTTAGCAAAAAAAAACAGAAACGCCTTCTTTACAAATTTTTTTCCAAAACCCCAGATTTTTTATCTTTAACCACCATACGCCCAATCTGACTAGAAAAATCAAAGTTTTTTAAACTCCAAACAATTTAAACCTCAAATTAAAATCTTCAATCTATTTCATTAAAAATAAAAAAATCCCTTAATTCATGGCCATATTTGAATTTTTATTTAATTAATGAAAATAGTTTTGTAAACGAGTAAATGAGTACTTGCAATGATAGGTAGATTGCAAGTGATCCATTAAAGGATTTTGTGTTACAGACTGTCGACACCAACAATCACAGGGTATTTCGATTACAAACACCGAATGTGCACTCGATAGTGCTGCACGACTGCCATTCCTATTCACCAAAATTGCTCTGAATTTTTCATCTAACGGCAAAGGTGGATCAATGCAGAGTTTCTGTAAGAATTAAATTTAAAAGCTATTTGTTGCATCAGAAACCTTTCTATTTTTACTATGAGATTTTTCCTACAATATTTCATTGATCCCGCCATAAATGAAATGAACTGTAAAAGAAAAAGAGTAATAGTTTGCATTAGAATCCTCTTTTTTTTTGGAAGGCATTGCAGTGACTAGTAATCTTAAAATTTGCAAGAATTAAAAATTTTACTATATTCAAAAAATATGCTTCTACACTCTAACTTTTAGTATTATATATTTTAAAATAGCAAAATTAGTGGAGTTCTTCCGTCTTACTAAACATTTTGATCCTAGTAAATACGGATGCTAATTTCTTGCAGTAATTGTATAACATTTAAAAACCGTGAGGGCCAGTCTGAATTAACAAAGAACTTACAATTTGTCGATTACAATAAGTTTTTCCATCAGTTCCTGAATATAAATCAGCGACAAACCATAAGGTATCACCATCAAACACCATAAGACCGTGACTTGTATAATTATCGATCAGGACTGTCCCCGAAATCTTGGAAGTCAGTGAGTCCAATAACATAGCTGTAACTTTGAAATCCTAATTTATATCATACTATTATGTTCTATATGGATTTAACTTCTTTCGCTATTATTTTCTAAATACGTAAAAAAAGCTTCCAGTACAAGAGAATGCACACCAGAGCTTAGACTTGAGCTTTCCAAATAAACCACTAAAAACCTAATGATATTTCATTGCTGTAGCAATAACTTACATCTCTTACATCTTATTGAGAGAGCATTCGATCCTATCATGTCTTATTAACTTACCACCATCTCTTATTTACCTACCATCCACGTCCAGCCTGACTTCAATTTGAAATATCCAAACTGAAATTCAAGCAAACGCAACGATAAAAAATCGCTCGTTTACATAGTATACAGATTATGCAATTGCCCGTCCCAGCAATATTAAAGTGGAGTTCGCATCTGCAGAAAAATAAATTTGTAGAAAATTTAATTCTATACTACTAATCTTATTAATAAAAATTAACGCCAAATTTTAAAATTACTTATTTGTCATTTGATTAAGTGAGTCAATTAGTGGTAGAAATAATTTTTTGTTAAATACAACAATTCATAAACAAAATGAATAGAAAAAAAGGGATTGTTTTAAAAATATTTCTCATAAAATGATTTAATTATGGAAGAGAAAATTGATAGTAACATTGCAAAATATTTGTAAATCATTTAAATTTATTTTAATGCATGAAATAATCTGCACATTGTGAATATCATTTCTCATGTAACAAATTCTCTCTGAGCCCATGAAAATTCTTACTGAGCCCACGAAGATTTCTTAGCGAAATCAAGAAATTCCTCATTGAATTTATGAACTCACTCATCTCGAAATCCATAAACGCATAATTTGAAGATTTACTCGTCATCTCATACATCTATCTATACATTTCCTGTCACACTTTTTCATCTCTGCATGTCTTTTTCCCCATCTAAAAGTGAAGAAACTTTGAATGATTTCTATTATAATATTACCGGTCAGTGTCACAGTGGTCAATATGTGTCCAGCGTGTATATGCGTGTTTGTGTGTGTGTGTGTGTGTGTGTGTGTGTGTGTGTGTGTGTGTGTGTGTGTGTGTGTGTGTATGTGTGTGTGTGTTCGTTCTGTATATTCCCTTCTCTGGAGAATATAGTAGTAGTAATAATAGTATTATAAAATAGGGATCCATAGAGAAAAGGTCCAACCAGCTGCTGTGTTGAATTCATTTCGTTCCACTCACATTCGTCATCCTTTGGAGCATCGATCTTCTGCAATGCTTTCCTCCAGTATAATCATCTCTAATTTTACTATACAGCTATTATTATTATTATTATTTACTATTATCATTATTTATTATCATTATTTATTATCATTACTTATTATCATTGTTTATTATCATTATTTATTATCATTATTTATTACCATTATTTATTACCATTATTTATTATCATTACTATCGTTTTCGTTATT